CCTCTTCTTCTCCTCTTCTTCAAAACGAAGCCTTGCTTACCATATGGATGGGAGACCAGCAAGGCAGTCCGGGATCACTAAGCAGAGGCCGGCAAGGGCAAACCCACCTCCGTTTGTCTCTTGTCCTGACCTGGACGGCCCAGGCTAGCCTGATCTCATCAGATCTCGGAAGCTAAGCAGGGTCGGCCCCGATTAGTCCTTGGAAGGGAGACCAGCCAGGAAGCCCAGGGTCGGTCTGCCCAGGCAGGCAATGGCCAACCACCTCTTGTTCGTCTCTCGCCTCCATCTGGGCAGCCCAAGCTAGCTTGGCCTTGTCATATATCGGAAGCCAAGCAGGGTCCGCTCCGGTCAGTCCTTGGAGAGGAGGCCACCAAGGAAGTCCAGGGTTGCTACGCAGAGGCGGCCCCGATTAGTCCTTGGAAGGGAGACCAGCCAGGAAGCCCAGGGTCGGTCTGCCCAGGCAGGCAATGGCCAACCACCTCTTGTTCGTCTCTCGCCTCCATCTGGGCAGCCCAAGCGAGCTTGGCCTTGTCATATTACCTGAATACTGAGGTTTTACTTTAGAAAAAAAACACTCATACATTAACTTAAGATGATCCAAACAAAGTAAGGAAAGCAATCCCAAATGCTTTCATTAAAATTATTTGGCAGAGAATTCAACCCTTTAATGATGGTCTGGGCCTGGCTGGGGCGATGGCACGCATGCCCACAGAGAGGGCTCTGAGTGCCACCTCTGGCACCCGTGCCATAGGTTTGCCACCACTGCCCTATGGGGTCGCCGGGGGTCAGTTGCGACTTGACTCGTGGGGTTCCCCCCCCCACGGGTCAAACGCAGAAGAGCTGGGAGACGTTCCCCTCAGCCTGGGTCCCCCGCACTCCCCCCGTAGGCCTCGCCCGGCCCCTCCCCTCGCCCCTGACGCCTTCAGTCTTTCTGTTTATTGTCTAGAGCGCAGACAGTGGCCCTTCACCTAAGAGCAGTCAGCAGTCGCCGGAGCAAGAGCAGCGAGCAGTGCAGCAAGGCCTCTCCTTAGAGCGCAGTGGAGGCAGCGGCGCACCCCAGCTGGCCGGCTGCTGCCTGTCCGGCCCGGAGGGCAGGCTCCACTACGTGCCTTCCCTCGACTGCGCCTCGGAGCAGTGGGTGGAGCTGGTCCGCATGCTTCCGCAGCCCCTCCTCCTGCCGCAGCAAAAGGTGGTGATCGAGCAGCTGCCTTTCCTCTCCACTCACCACGCCAGCCCCGACCAGAGAGTCAAGATTCAGAGAGTCCCTCAGGTGCTAGTGTTCGGAACGGCCGCCACAGCGCTTAAAGTAGGTCCCGCCGAGGGCGCCCGCCGAGGTCCGAGAACGGCGGGCTCTGGGCGCACTTGCTTCCCGAAGAGGCAGGCCAGGGGAGCTAACCAGAGGCCCCCCCCCGGTGCCACCTCCTCCTCCTCCGGTGGGACTCGGGGGTGGAGAACCAGATGGTCTTCCTTCCCCCCCCCCCGTCGCAGGAGTTGAAACTTGGGGGGGGGGCCCTCAGCTTTGACATGAGTCTCATTTCCTTGAGTCAAGGTGGAGCTTGGCTATGGGGATTCGGAAGGACACCAGGGCCTAGGGCAGGGGTCCTCAACATGGCGCCCACCAAGTATTTTTAGAAAGTGGGCATGGCCAGACGGGGCTCTTGACCAGCAGGCCTCCTGATTGGCTGTGATTGAGACAACGTTTCAGCTGCTGCTGCCACCCAAGTGTTGGTTTTATTTTCTCCCACTCCTGTTTCCCCCTGTGATTTTTTAAGTGACCCCTCTACTCTCCTGCACTCAGGTTTCCTCTGTGTGGTTGGCTTCACTTCCTGCAGCAGCCATTCTGTGTCTGGCTCCGCCTCCCGTGGCAGCCATTTTGTGTCTGGCTCCACCTCTTGTAGCAGCCATTTTGTGTCTGGCTCCGCCTCCTGTGGCAGCCATTTTGTGTCTGGCTCCACCTCTCGTGGCAGCCATTTTGTGTCTGGCTCTTGGAAGCCATTTTGTGTCTGGCTCCGCCTCTCATGGAAGCCATTTTGTGTCTGGCCCCGCCTCCTGTGGCAACCATTTTGTGTCTGGCTCTGCCTCCCGTGGCAGCCATTTTGTGTCTGCGACCACCACTCTGTATTAGAATCCCAGAGGTGTGCCCACAAGCTTAAAAAGGTTGAGGACCCCTATCCCTAGGGGTAGGGTTGCCAATCCCCAGTTGGGGGCAGGGGATCCCCTGGTTTAGAGCCCTTCCCGCCGCTTCAGGGATGTCGGAAAGCAGGGGGGTAATGGCCACTGGGCGCTCCATTATACTCTCGGGAGGTGGGTCCCTGTAGGCTATAATGGATATCTGGGGCTCTGGGCAATGCTTCCTCTAAGCTGTGGAGTCTTGTGAGCAAAAATCCCACTTTGTGAGCTGTCTGTAAGCTGCCCTGAGACTCCTTTGGGTAGTGAAGGGCAGGGTATAAATCCAGTCCCCTCCACCTCCTCCTCTTTCCCAAAGATGCTGGAAAAAAAGAAAACCCATATGTGTAGAAGTATCAAGGTCAATTCCCCAAAAGCTAAAATCGTGTAGGATCACGGAATCTTTAATCAAGTTATAGATGTTAAAAACTGTGCATAAAAACCCTCAACTTCAGTTACATGGGTTTAGGTCCGTTCCCCTTATGTAAAAAACTCCCCAATTTTTTGGTGAAATTACACATACACACAGGGATCTCCCCATGCAGCTTTTAATACCTACAGTTCTTACTATTTACAATTTTAAAACTATGATTCTATATAACCTTAGCTTTTTTGGAATTGACCTTTCTATTTCTACATGCAGGGTTTGTTTTTTCCCCCAACCGCTTTGATCAGGCCAGTGGCCCATCCCGTCCAACACTCTGTGTCACACAGTGGCCAGAAATACCAGGTGCCCTCAGGAGGTCCAGCAGTGGGGCCAGGACACCAGGAGCCCTCCCACTGTTGCCCCCCCAGCACCCAGAATACACAGCATCCCTTGCCCCAGGAGGTCCAGCAGTGGGGCCAGGACACTAGAAGCCCCCTCCCACTGTTGCCCCCCACCCCAAGTACCAAGAATACAGAGCATCACTTGCCCCAGACATAAGAACATAAGAGAAGCCAGTGTTGGATCAGGCCAATGGCCCATCCAGTCCAACACTCTGTGTCCCGAAATCAGCGGTTCTGGAGTGTAAGCAGTGTCACCTGCAGGTACAACATATTCCTGCTTGTATCTGATACAGGGAGCTTTGGCTCTTCGCATCTCCTACCCCGGGAATCTCATCGGTCTCTAAGGTGGTCCTGGATTCAGACCTAGCTGCTGCACTGCAGACCGTCACTGCTACTTGCTGAAACTACCTTATGGCTATTGCCGTGGTTATGATTAGCTCAGTGGCAGCTCAGAGTCAGGCTACGAACAAAGACAAAACATCAGCCACGAGCCGGTTGACAAAGGCAGAGGCAAACCGGCTTTACGGGGAGTGGGGGGCAGCGGGAGTGTGGAGCGGTGGCCCTGCCAGCTGAGACAGAGGCCGGCCCCTTCCTGCCTCACCCCTCCCCTTTGCCTTCCCTCTCCTTGCCGCTTCCTTCCTCCCCAGGTCCAGCAGCTCCAGCAGGTCCCCGTGCAGCACGTCTACCCCAACCAAGTGCAGTACGTGGAAGGAGGAGATGCCAGCTACACGGCCAGTACCATGTGAGTGTGCCTCGAGGATAAAGGGGCCGTCTCTAGCCACTTGCTGACCCCAGAGAGCCAGTTTGGTGTAACGGTCAGGAGCGCGGACTCTAATCTGGGAGAACCGGGTTCGATCCCCCTCCCACTCCTTCACATGCAGCCAGCTGGGTGACCTTGGGTCAGTCACAAGTTCTTTCAGAGCTGTTCTCTCAAGGGCAGTCCTCGAGAGAGCTCTCTCAGTCGCACCTGCCTCACAGGGTGTCTGTTGTGGGGAGGGGAAGGGAAAGGAGACTGTAAGCCGCTCTGAGGCTCCTTTGGGGAGTGGAAGGTGGGGTATAAATCCAGTCTCTTCTTCCCCGGGCTTGAGCTAGCTACCAGCTAAGTGTGGATGCCTGTCTGGGTCAGGCACATACTACGGACAAAAGGGGGGGGCATTTTGTGGCAGCCATTTTGTGTTTGGCTCCGCCCCATGTGACAACCGTTTTGTGGTTGCCTCCCCACTACATGTCAGAATTCCAAAGATGGAACAAAAAGGGGGGGGGGACTTAACCCTGAAACCTGGGATCCAGAACTCTAAAGAGGTGAGTCAAACAGAGTAGGGGGCCAGCAATAAAAACTTAATGTATGTAATATAAAAAGATACATGTATTTATTAGGAAAGAATTAAAAAAACATATAAGGGCCCCATCACACCTCATGTAAAAATACCAAAATCTTACACAAAAGGGCCAGTGGACTTGACCTGACGTATTTCGGCCTGTATAGTCCATCTTCTATCCGTGTTGCATAATTGTACGCTTGTACTCAGGGGTCATTTCGTAGTAAAAGAGGTGCAGGAGCTCATTAGCCTAACTCATTAGCACAACTTATTTGCATGCGCCACACCCCCTGACATCACTGGAAGTGTGTCAGAAGGCAACTTACCTGGCTGCTTCTTGCTCCTCGTGGCCCGACTGAGGGCTGCTGGGAGCAGGGGGCGGGGCTTGTTGCATGTGCCCGCCCCCTGGGCTCCTTACTGCAGGAGTTCCGCTCCCGCAGGAAATGACCACTGCTTGTACTGTATTATGTTATCAGCCAATTCGTACCCATTGTTTTAATCGTCTGTAGTGTTTTAAACTGAAATTGTATTTATTATAATGACGTCACCCGCCCTGAGCTCGCTCGCGGGATGGGCGGGATATCAATGCAAATAATAAATAAATTTTAAAAAGTCGTCTCTGATACAAAGCTGCCCCCAAGCCTCTGAAAAGTTAGATTCAAGTCTAGGATCGACTTGGGCACCGACAAGAATTTCGGGGTATGATCTCCTGGACCTGAACTGGCTCTTCTACTGCAGGCCAACACGGCTACCCTCTGAAACTGTCTGCTGTTAGCAGTCACTGTTTTCCAGACAACCGGCAAGCATTCTGCCAGAGAGGCGGATTCCTCTTGGTCGGCAAAGACTGTGACTAGCAGGAAGAGCTGCATAGCTAGGGAGCACGCGTGCTTAGGCATACGACTAGAACGTTCCAATCTGTTCTGTCTCGATAGCTTCTCTTCTTTTCCCTTTTTTTAACAATTTTTAAAATTTTCCGTATAAGACAAACACAAAATAAACAAAGGCTGCATTTACACACAGGAAACAATCCACTTTCAGTGCACTTTCGAACTGGATTTTACTTGTGTGAACTGGCAAGATCCAGTTGGAAAGTGCCTTGAAAGTGGATTATTTTGTGTGTGTGACCGCAGCCAAACAAACATACATACAACGGGGGGGGGGGGCCTTCAGCTTGCAACATTAATCTGTCTGTCAAATTACCTCAAACATTACCAAATTGTATTTTTCAATTTTTCCCCACCTTATATTTTAAATTATATCATTGCTTATAACTAAAAAAATAGAATTGTAGTTCATATTTCCTTGTACTTCGGTTGTATGTCCACATAATTTATTTGTTGGTTTCTTCCATCCATCTGTAAAATCTTAACCATGTATTCTCAAAGTTTTCTTCATTTATTCCTACGGCTGTTATAACAGTCATTCATCTTTGCAATCACTTGCACTTCATCCAATGAAATGTTGTGATTTCCTTCTGTGGCGCGCTGGGCGACTGCTGATTTTTCTGCTTGTTTCACCATAGAAGAAAATCACAACGTTTTGTTTGATCAAGGTGGAAGTAATTGCAAAGGTTAATGGCTATTATGAATTGTCTAGAAGAGAAGCTATTGAGATAGAACAGCGCCCTGAGAACATCAGTTAGGAAGAAAGGATGTTAGAACAGCTCCCTGAGAACATCAATCAGGAGAAAGGATGTTCTATCAGTAAAGTGTGGAAACCTTTACCATATTATAAGCAAATGCAGTCCTGACCTAGATCCCCCATGCTAGCCCCATCTCATCAGATCTTGGAAGCTACGCTGGCTGGTATTTGGATGGGTGACCTCCAAGGAATACCAGGGCCGTGACACAGAGGCAGGCAATGGCAAACCCACCTCTGAAACCTCTCTTGCCTTAAAAACAGTTCTAGCTCGCCACTTAGTGGTGTGTAACGCTAAAAGAGCTAGGGCTTCTGGCTGCCAGACAATCTTAGCATCCCCTGGCTATACAACACACACTGCCACACGATAACTGATTGATTAATTAATTAACAAATACAATTACGTCACCCTCCAGTTACTTCGCAGAGAAAAGGAAATTCCAGTGATGCCAATGTAATGACGCCATTTGGGGTTCCGTCTACATAGCACAGATACAAAAAGAGTTTCCTCCTTGAGACGGTCATCAGTTGCCCTTTACAACAACAGACTGTCTCCTGATGACGCCAACAGCAAAGACCGGCGAAACGTCAAGACAGATCAGTATTTGTCAACGAATGCGGCTTTCAAGGCCGAAGGTTTTCATTAATGGTTGTTAGAACGTTCCATTCAAAAATTCAGAGAGAGACTTAAAATTACGAAACGTCTAGAGAGATCAGTGTTCATCAACGAATGCAGCTTTCAAGCCCCAAAGTTTGCATTAACGGTTGTTAGAACATTCCATTCAAAAAGTCAGAGAGAGACTTAAAATTACGAAACGTCTAGAGAGATCAGTGTTCATCAACGAATGCAGCTTTCAAGCCCCAAAGTTTGCATTAACGGTTGTTAGAACATTCCATTCAAAAAGTCAGAGAGAGACTTAAAATTACGAAACGTCTAGAGAGATCAGTGTTCATCAACGAATGCAGCTTTCAAGCCCCAAAGTTTGCATTAACGGTTGTTAGAACATTCCATTCAAAAAGTCAGAGAGAGACTTAAAATTACGAAACGTCTAGAGAGATCAGTGTTCATCAACGAATGCAGCTTTCAAGCCCCAAAGTTTGCATTAACGGTTGTTAGAACATTCCATTCAAAAAGTCAGAGAGAGACTTAAAATTACGAAACGTCTAGAGAGATCAGTGTTCATCAACGAATGCAGCTTTCAAGCCCCAAAGTTTGCATTAACGGTTGTTAGAACATTCCATTCAAAAAGTCAGAGAGAGACTTAAAATTACGAAACGTCTAGAGAGATCAGTGTTCATCAACGAATGCAGCTTTCAAGCCCCAAAGTTTGCATTAACGGTTGTTAGAACATTCCATTCAAAAAGTCAGAGAGAGACTTAAAATTACGAAACGTCTAGAGAGATCAGTGTTCATCAACGAATGCAGCTTTCAAGCCCCAAAGTTTGCATTAACGGTTGTTAGAACATTCCATTCAAAAAGTCAGAGAGAGACTTAAAATTACGAAACGTCTAGAGAGATCAGTGTTCATCAACGAATGCAGCTTTCAAGCCCCAAAGTTTGCATTAACGGTTGTTAGAACATTCCATTCAAAAAGTCAGAGAGAGACTTAAAATTACGAAACGTCTAGAGAGATCAGTGTTCATCAACGAATGCAGCTTTCAAGCCCCAAAGTTTGCATTAACGGTTGTTAGAACATTCCATTCAAAAAGTCAGAGAGAGACTTAAAATTACGAAACGTCTAGAGAGATCAGTGTTCATCAACGAATGCAGCTTTCAAGCCCCAAAGTTTGCATTAACGGTTGTTAGAACATTCCATTCAAAAAGTCAGAGAGAGACTTAAAATTACGAAACGTCTAGAGAGATCAGTGTTCATCAACGAATGCAGCTTTCAAGCCCCAAAGTTTGCATTAACGGTTGTTAGAACATTCCATTCAAAAAGTCAGAGAGAGACTTAAAATTACGAAACGTCTAGAGAGATCAGTGTTCATCAACGAATGCAGCTTTCAAGCCCCAAAGTTTGCATTAACGGTTGTTAGAACATTCCATTCAAAAAGTCAGAGAGAGACTTAAAATTACGAAACGTCTAGAGAGATCAGTGTTCATCAACGAATGCAGCTTTCAAGCCCCAAAGTTTGCATTAACGGTTGTTAGAACATTCCATTCAAAAAGTCAGAGAGAGACTTAAAATTACGAAACGTCTAGAGAGATCAGTGTTCATCAACGAATGCAGCTTTCAAGCCCCAAAGTTTGCATTAACGGTTGTTAGAACATTCCATTCAAAAAGTCAGAGAGAGACTTAAAATTACGTCTCTCACAGCTTTAAAACATTCCTTCTTACAATTGCAACAACAGGCACATCTGGATTTTTTGAAGATTTTTTTAAAAAAATAAATAGTAAATGGGAAACTGCATCCAAGAACGAAAAGATGGGAAATAATTCCAAAATGGAAGAGGTTTCTTCTTGCTTATATACAAAATTAATTGTATATTATGACAACAAGAGAGCCGTGGGACACCGTACAGGCGGGCAAATTTATTACTCCTCAACAAATAGGTTCCTTTTTAAGGTGTCTCGTGACCTGGGGTCATTTCCTGCAGGAGGGCACAGAAGCGGAGCTCCGACAGTAAAGAGCCCAGGGGGCGGGCACATGCAATAAGCCTCGTCCCCTGCTCCCAGCAGCCCTCAGTCAGAGCAAGAAGCAGCCAGGTAAGCTGCAGAGGGCCCCCCCGACCCCCGTCCAAAACAGTCCAGTGGCACCTTTAAGACCAAGTAGCACTCCAAGCCCCCCCCCCCCCCAGTTAGCAATCCAAAACAGTCCAGTGGCACCTTTAAGACCACATTTTATGCAGGTACAAGCTCTCCCTCTTCTGGAAGGACAGATTATCACGTGCCCCCCCCCCCAATAGCTAGCAATCCAAAACAGTCCAGTGTTGCCTTCTGACAGACTTCCGGTGATATCAGGGGGTGTGGCATATGCAAATGAGTTATGCTAATGAGCTCCTGCACCTCTTTTTCTACGAAATGATCCCTGCTCATGGCTATCGTTAAAAGAAATGACCATGGCTTCCCTTCTGGAATTCATTGAGCACCTTCAAGCGTAAAAATAAGACATCATAGTTAGGATTACCTCCCCCCCCCCAGCATGTTTTACACACACTAAAATATTCATTTTTTTAATATAAGAGACAAAGTGTGAAAAGCATCAGTTTTAGCCGATCCTCAAGACCAAATTAGGCAAGACGGAGGGAAATTTGGGATTGGGAAACCTCTCCCCACCCCACCCCACAGCATACAAATAACACCAGAATCAGAGAGGAGGGCCAATAAGCAGCTATTTGGGAGCATGCCCAGTGAAACAAAAAAAGTTTTCACTGGCTGGCGGAAGACACCAGCAGAGGGATCGAGATGGGTACCCGCGTTAGTCTGCCTGTGGCAACGGAAAAGACCAAGAGTCCCAGAGCACCTCAAAGACTAATGGAATTTGTGGCGGGGAGGAGCTTTCGGGAGTCGCTGCTCAAACATCTCTGAAGGAAGTGAGCCGTGTCTCACGAAAGCTCCTCCCCTGCCACAAATTTCGTTAGCCTTTGAGGTGCTCCTGGACTCTTGCTCTTTTCTGCCGATAGAGGGAGACAGACGGATCTCTGTGGGGAAGGAGTTCCAAAGTTTCGGGGCCACGACCGAGAAGGCCCTTTCTCGGGGCGCCACCAATCTAGCCTCAGATCAACCAATCAACCAAAGCAGGGCCTCCGAAGATGACCAGAGTGAACCTGTCTGTCCCTGATGTAGACAAACCAACAAAATCATCTGGTTCGGCCAGTAGGCGGGCAGGCAGGTTTCGGTGGGTGACTGCGCCTGTGGGGGGCGGGATCGACTCAGCCCCTTGACTCACCTAACTCCTCTTGGTGAGAAGTGGCTATCCTCCCATCGGGAAGGGGGGAGCAGCTGGCGCCAGCCCCTGACGACCTTCCTCCTTTCCAGACGCTCCAACACCTACCCGTACACCGAGACCCCGCTCTACACGCAGAACGCGGGAGCCAGCTACTACGAGTCTCAGACCACCCCGACGCAGGTGCCCACTCCGCCGACCTCCCAGGCGGTGGCCACCAGTGGGTCGGTGCCCATGTATGTCTCCGGAGGGCAAATCATAGCCAACCCTAGCGGCGGTGGTACTGCCGCAGCCAGCGGAGGCGGAGGAGGCGGTGGCGGTGGCACCAGCGGCAGCAGCGGAGGGAGCAGCGGCAGCGGCAGCACAGGAACCTATGTGATCCAAGGGGGTTACATGCTGGGCAGTTCAAGCCAGTCTTACTCACACACCACCCGTGCCTCCCCAGCAACGGTAAGTCATCCCCCAGGGCTAACTCAGCTTAGAGGGAACACTGTTGGGGGTCCTCTGCTCTGGGTAGCATTCTCCGCTCAAACAGAGTGACGTGAAGCCTCACAGGACCAGCCAATTGGCCTGTGCAAACCAAAGCGCGTTCTTCGACATGCTCAGAATCAGTGTGGCAGTGGTTCCCTGGGAGTGGACAGACTAGGGGGAAGATTTCGGGATTTAACACCCTAATGTATGCCTGTTCTGATTGTTCCTTTTTTCTTACCAGGGACAATAATGGTGTTGGGTCGGGGGCAGCAGGGATGTTAACAACCTCTTTAATCGAATTGCCGCTGTTTTCGGTGGAATGTATCTATTCATTTATTAAAACATTCATATTCTGCCTTTCCTCAAGGCATCTCACAGTAATCGTTGAAAGGTTTTCTGTTAAAACCAGAGGTCATTTCGGGGGGAACGCGAGGGATCGGAGTTCTCCTGGGTGAGGTACGGGGGGCGGGGCACATGATGAAGCCCCGCCCCCTGCTTCCGGCCGCCCCGCTTCCGGCCCTCATTGAGCCAGGAGGAGG